AGATATACCGATTTCCGAACTAGATACCAATATACAGATAAGGTTCCTCAGAATACCGATTTTTGAGGTGTTATACCGATGTATACCGATTTTTTAAATTATCATCATCAAAATTTTTGTGTGAAACTTGTATCTATCTAAAAAATTTTGAGTCCTTAAAATTCTAAAAAAAAATCAACTTCAAAAATGTCTTATGGATACCCTTTCGATTAATGTTTCAATTTACCCACCGTTTTTGGCTACTCATGAATCGATAAACAGTCGATGGCTCTTTCTGGTAATTCCGGGGGAATCGGGAAATACTTTTTTAACATGATTTAACTCCCTGAATTTTCTTCCAACTTTCCCCTGGAATTTTCTATTTACGATCCCTCTCGGAAACTTATTTCGACTTCTCTTGAAAGCTTCTTCAGCCTTCGCTCGAATGATTCTTCCCGGAACATCAGGGATGCTTCTAGATTTTGATTGCGGATCCATACTAGCTGCAGGAACTTTTAAAAAAGTTCTGAAACTTCACAAAAGTCCAGACTTTTGAGTAAGTTTCGATAAATTAAAGAAAGTAACTTCTGTTAAAATTCTAAAACCCGGTCCAGCGAACTCCAGTGAACTTAACGAGACATCATAAATATTTTAGATACTTCACAAGGCCAAAGAACTTCTGGAAAATTTGATGGTTTTCAGGACAGTTCCATTAGTTTCAGGAGAATTGAGAGAACATTAGGAAGCTCCGAGATCATCAGGACAATCAGATCAGATCTATAAATTTCAAGGAAATCGCTGAAATTTTAAAGGAGTTCCGAGAAACTCAGGCAATTGCCGAAAACTTCAGCAATGTTCCGAGAAGCTCATACAAATTTAGGAAACGTAAGGGAAGTTACACGAACATTAGCACATTGTGAGAACATTTTATGGGAAGTTCCGTGCTTATTGATGGCAGTGTCGATAACTTTTAAACATTGTAAAAATCGGGAAGATCAGAGAACATTAATGCTGACGCTACAATAAATTCAAGAAAATTGCTAGAGTGCTTAAAAATTTTCGTAATCTTCAAGAAAGTCTAGAAACCTTCAAGGTTGATTAGAAATATTGCGGTACCCAACTAACAATTTTCACAATGTAAACGCTTTACTCATTTCATTTATACAGTCTCAAGCTGTATTCAAACGTTGTACGATATGAGGAAACCTTTACTCAACTTCTATACAAGCAAATCTGGCGAACTTAGTCAGCTACTTATGGCTGTTGGAACGGTCGGGAGAAGCTCTTATTGCTTATCCATTAACGCTTCTATACAGCTGTTATCCTGCTGTTTAGTTGTGTGTGAACTTGAAAGGCGCTTATTCAACCTCTTCCCGGTTGTACAATAATCACTACACAGCTTTCTCTTGAAGCCAGGTTAAATACTGTTTACGCTTTTTTATGAAGGAATTTATTGAGTTTAATTTGCTGTGAATCAAATTAATCGGAATTAGTTACAAATCATCACCAAATTATTTACCTGCACCGGAACCTGAAATCAAACTCGAGACGACCTCATTGGCAAACCTTGACACTACCAACTGTGCTACGCCAACACTTTGAACTTATGTAAACAAATCAACATTCGGTTCTACAACAAAATCGCTGAGTAGAGGCTTTATAGTAGTGCACATGAATCACTTTTCTCGACTAGTTATAAAAGAGCAGAGTAAAAGCTGTTAAACTGCACACGTCTAAAAATAAACCTAGTTGACTGTGAAAATGCTTCCGAAGTTGCTCTAACACAGTTTATAAGCTGAGTACAGGTTGTTAAGTTGTTGAAAAAGCACTTTTGATGTTTATGTTATTCAGCAAGAGTGGTTGGTTGTGTAGAAGCCATCAAATGAGTAATATATTCACTTTGTTAGCTTTGTTTTGCAGCTATAAGTCGAAAGTTGATTAGTGTGTGTATAGAAGTGACATTAGCCTTTATTGGCTGATGTTATTCAGTGCGACTGACAAATTGAATAATGGTTGTGAGAAAGTAGAGTAAACGCTCTCCAAAACTATTTTGCTAGCTTTTGCTTGTAGCTGTATCTGCAGCTTCTTTTCAGCTACTCTACAGCACAACGCTGGAAAAGTTGGCTCACAAAGCTGAAAATGTTTGTTGGGTAGTCTCATTGTAATCAGGGAAGTTCCAAGTATTTCAAAGATGATCTGGAGTACTCTGAACAGCTCTAGAAAATATGGAATATTCCAAAGTACATTTTACAATATTCCAAAAATTTCAGGGGCATTGCGAGATCTTCAGAGATGTATTATGATCATTTGGAAAATTTTCTGGATCATTAGAACATCCCCCAAGAGCTCTTTCTTCCGGAATTATGTCCATGTTTCTTTCGACTGTTCCATAAGCGCTCTGGCTTCCGACTTTCTCCAGATTTTTTTTCCAATCTACCTTAGGAAGTTTTTGCCAGCGTCTCCAGGAAGTTTAGTCCGTCTTCTCCAGGAAGTTCAATTAAACTTCTCCCAGAAATTTCTTTCGTCTAGTTTTGGAATTTTGTCCAGTCGGTTTTTTTTTACTTCTTTCTGAAGGTTTTTCCGAGCTTCTTCTGGCTTCCCCTGGAAATGGCTACTTCTGGAATTTATTTCCGGTTTCCGAAACTTTTCTGCCTTCCTTCGAATGTGAAATCCGATTTTTTTTCTGAGTTTCTTCAAATTTTCGCCAGAAGTTTCTCAATTAATATCTTGGAAGTTTTTCCGACTTCTCTCAGAACCTTACTCAAATTTCCTCCAGGAGAGCTTCTTTCTCTGGCTCTTGTTCTTCCTCCAGAAGCTAATTCAAACATTCCACGGAGTTTTCTTCCGGAATTTTCCGATCATAGTCCAAAAGTTTTTTTGCTTTCAAAAACGCCAAAAATATAGAAATTAATTAAAATAGTAAATACCGATAAATACCGATTTTTTAAAACCTTCGATACCGATAAGCTTTAAATTATTCCGGCAACGCTGGTGAAACTAAGGTTATCTGTCACCTGGCCGGGGACTTGATGTGGGTGCATTCGTCGTCGTCTTTGTATTGGTGCGATGCGTGCTATAGAGCTTTTTGACGTTTAATCGGCGCACACTACTGCACCATTTAAATGGAACGAGTGCGAGCAAGAGGGAAACAGATAAGTGGGAAAACAAACCGTTCATTCATCCATGTGTGCTAGATAGAGAAAGACGATTATACGTCAAAAAGGTCTATTCTACTCATCCGTCGTGTCCGACGCTTATGCGTCCGTTGCTCAAAAGTAAATGACGAAAAAAAAAAACGATTTGGCAAGCGTTTTTATTACTGCTGCTTTTCGCTTTCCTTCCATTCATTGGTGAAATGGTGAGCGGTCACCCAAGCGGTGAGCTCGCTCATGTGAGCATGCGTAATGTATCGTGTGTTCGATTTGCACTCTATCGTTACGTCCGTGTTTGGGATTTTTCGTTACATGTCTGAATTTTGATTTTTTTTTAATGTGAGTATAGAAACTAAAGACGTAGTCCTACGTCAAAAAAAGAATCAACAATTCGAACGAAAAACAGTTGCTTCGTGCTTGTTAGCAACTTCCATGCTACCACACACCGACGCTTGGGCTTTTATCCTCGAATTTGTTTATTATGCAGGTTGCAACCAGCTTATTCTCAGAGTGAACCTGAACCCGAGCCAGGTTACAAAAACAAACGTTCATAAAGACGTTTGACAAACAACATACAGACCAAATGTTAATACCCGATGCAGGTTGGAACTGAATCAAAAACAAACTCGCTATAAGTGTTTGTTTGTTGAGCACCATCCCTTTCAGTTTGGTAGGTATAAGCTGGTTAGATGTTTTTCCTTTTACGAAAAATTTCACCGGTTAGAATGGGAATCTAACGTCCACTTACTGCACGGTCACGAAGTTTCCCAAGCAACATTTTAGGTTTTATAATGGTTTTGAAGACGTTTATATGGCTTACAATGAGCTTGAAAACCATAATAAATTAATATATGTTTCGTGGGTTTCATGGTATGATCTAGTTGCTTTAGATTTTCCGGAAATTTTGTTCTTCAGCTTCTTTTACCGTTTTCTATTCGCTGGTGCCTACCTATCCACAGCGACCCACTATAAATAGCTACCAAAAACACTCGTTAACTAACACCCCATAAGTTGTCACATCGTTAAAATTGATTATGCGTATAGCAGTGAATGAGTTACAACCATAGCTATTAAGCCGAGTGCCGAAGGAAGTTCAACAGATTAAGAATAACCGTGACCAAGAAAATGGTTCACCCGTCAGACATTCATGAAGAAGTCCGGAGTAAAACGCTTGACATTCGAACAAAAAGGAAATCAAAGCGTGAACGGAATATTAATGCCACAAGGGGACAATACGGCTGCGACAAGTTAGTAAACACATCTGATTAATGGCAAACGGAACACGGGCCAAGGTCTTCCCCCCCTAGGTTATGCGGAGGATGTCTCGGAGAAATTTGAATTTGGTTGATTAATGGATTACCGTTTCTTGAGGAAGAACAGAGGTTACTCATGATTGCATGCTGCCATTTTGGAGCACACTGTGTTTAAACTCAATTAGGGAACATTTTTTTTTTTCTAAAATGAATTGCCTCTAATCATCCCACTACATGCAGTTCGAAAGTTACTTGTTTCGTTTGAGCAGGAATCAACCGGTTTTATCTGATCGCGCTGATCAAACCAAACACGTGGTTTACTCCTTCAAATCAGGCAACAACTTTTCCCAACTGCACTCTAGCATTAGGTTCAAAGTTTTCAGTAATTAGCAGGTTGTTAGTTACCACACAACTGCAAGACCCACATGTGCTCGAGCATTGGTCGTTCTTATCTCTAGTTGCGATTTAATAACGTTGATTTTTTTTATTTTCTTTTAGTCCACCTTCTCCCCCCTGGGCTGCAACCAACCACGGGGAAACGGAAGTTGTAGCCTTCACCCAGTTCTACCGGTGTACATACGTTAATTTTCTTCATTGCTTTCCGCTCTCTTTCCAGTGATAGCCAAAGAATGTGTCAACCACGGGGAATGCGCCACGATAGTGGCCACGAGCTGTGTCCAGGCCGCGGACGGAAAAATGCGATGCCTCTGCGGAGACTTTGAGGCGCCCGAAAATGGCTACTGCAAGGCCAAGTACAAAGGTGAGTATCAACGCCGAAATTGAGCCATTTCGGAATGTGTTCATCGAAAACCATCATCAGTCTTTGTATATGAAGGCATACTCGACAGACAGGAAATTCACCAAATTGCCGCTAAGTTTGAACAATTGCTCGAACCGACTTTGCCTAGTAGGTGCATTCAATTTGCATTCTTTGTGTTACACCAAGTATAAGGCTTCCGGAGAAAAGTTACCTTTCTGCTATACACATTCAGCAGGTGCCAGCCGAAAGGCAGGAAAGTTCGCAAAAGTAGTTAGAAATATAAATATATGGAGCAAAAAAAAAATCCGAACTTTAAGGTACTTACAACGCAACACGATATTCATAGCCATACGTGGCGCACGGAAAGTGTTGGCATACATTTCCAGCTATTAGTCATGTAAGTTGCATCGTCTGCCAAAAAGTGTATGTATCAGATATGGCACGTGGTGGAGGCAAATTGCTGTGAAGCATAGAATCATGCAAGGAAAAGCTCCGATCAAAGTAGGGCGGTTCAGGGCCTGTCCGTCAGGATGTAGGGGAACGGTTAGATTTATGGACTTGTACCTACATTGTTGGTCTTGGCTGGACGTGGAAAGCTCGCGCTATAGGTTATGAATGGAAATGATGGCCTGTTTTGTGAAAGTATCATGTTCGATATTAATATCTCTTTTCCAGCCAAAAATAGTTATTTTCGTTCAGTCTCTTATGTAGATTGTACGGAGCTGTGATAAATACGTTCTGCATGGATTACTACGGTCTCACTATTATTTCCCTACACCAGCTTTATAGTAACACCATAGAGGTAACTCTAAGACTAGAAGGTCCCGAAGAAACGTGCTCAACTTTTTGGCTCAGCTCTGGTACTCTCTTCGGTCCCAAGCAAATCGATTCACCCCTCGAAACATAGGAAAATCCACTAACCCCTCATTGTATCTGTCAAACTTTCATAGTGAATCAAAACAAACATTGTGTGGTACTAGAATTTCGACTAGAATGGGGTACGTTAATCGTTTGCTTGGGACCAATAGGCTAGTCAAGTATTGTTGTGCACCATGCTGAGTGTCACACTCTTTTTTTTAGGAGTGGAAACCATGTAAGTTTTACGTAAAACGCACATAGAAATTGTCTATGTGGAAATCACGTAAATTTCATTGGATGCGTTAGAGTGCTCAACAGAAATTTTCTTTAATATTCAAGTGGTATCACATGACTGGTTTGTCACTTTATTGATTAACTGAATTACCTTAATAATTGCTTTGCGTAAACAAATAAAGCGGTATTGCTTTATTTCGATAAAAATCAATGAAGCTGCAAACCCCTTTGCATTTTGGGACTAAACTTCTTTTTTTTTATAGTCACTTTAACGCTCTTGGGTCATTCGTGACTTGTCTGGGGATGAGACTTGAACTCGTGACTAAACTTTATTTCCAAATTAAAAAAGTGATGAATTATCAATTCTCTCCAGGAAACTCTTGAAATTCATTCTATAATTCTCTTGGATGACAAGAAGACTATATCAATCTTTACATGCCTTCATGTAAAATTTTACATTACCTATCTCAAATATACCTAAGGTTTTTCAAACCATATAAAAAGAGTAGCCTGTTCTCAAACATGCCTTTCAGGTAATATTTAACATACAGGAAATTTATTTAAGGTATTTAAAACATCTAGGCTTTTTGGCTCAGCTCTGGTACTCTCTTCGGTCCCAAGCAAATCGATTCACCCCTCGAAACATAGGAAAATCCACTAACCCCTCATTGTATCTGTCAAACTTTCATAGCGAATCAAAACAAACATTGTGTGGTACTAGAATTTCGACTAGAATGGGGTACATTAATCGTTTGCTCGGGACCAATAGGCTAGTCAAGTATTGTTGTGCACCATGCTGAGTGTCACACTCTTTTTTTTTAGGAGTGGAAACCATGTAAGTTTTACGTGAAACGCACATAGAAATTGTCTATGTGGAAATCACGTAAATTTCATTGGATGCGATAGAGTGCTCAACAGAAATTTTCTTTAATATTCAAGTGGTATCACATACACAGAAAAAAAAGTTGTTGAATATTACATCCAAACTGCTGCAACCAGGTCAATCCATCGGTTGTGTAATATAACGTTGTACGATGTACATCGATTTTGCGAACAAAATTACATCCATTGATGTAATATTGTATCTGCTTTTTGCTACTACATCATGACAAGAAGACTATATCAATCTTTACATGCCTTCATGTAAAATTTTACATTACCTATCTCAAATATACCTAAGGTTTTTCAAACCATATAAAAAGAGTAGCCTGTTCTCAAACATGCCTTTCAGGTAATATTTAACATACAGGAAATTTATTTAAGGTATTTAAAACATCTAGGCTACCTATCTCAAATATACCTAAAGTTTTTTTTCAAACCATATAAAAAGGGTAGCCTATTCTCAAACAACATCATTCTCAATTTGTCTTCAGTCTCATAGGTCTTGTGCTTAGTCTTCTCCAACGTCTGAATTTTCTATTAAAATACCATGTTCATTTCCTTTTTGTATCTAGTCGAATTTTCCATGCCCCTCATGTTCCTCGATGGAATTGGAGATAAATTCAACGTTTCCACAAAGCCATTAAACTTCTCAATATTACATGGGCTTTGCAGATCATCTGCTTCAATGATGGAACCGATGGTACCGTATCCGAAGGAAAGAAGAAAATTAAAAATTAGGACGTTGCAGTTAAAAGTTGATAGAATCATCAGGATGACTGTTCTTACCTAGCTCATCTACGGATTGATGGCCACTCGATGATTGACCTGGATCATCACTATGCTGCTGTCCACTAGTGGACGGTTGGATATTTACTTCATTTCCAACAGTTATGCGTTTTTTCATAACTGGACTTCTATTATGAGATATCACGCTTATGGCATGACTCACAAATGCTCATCGTTTCATCAATTTTGTGGTTATATCCTATAGAATGTATTTTTTCTACCATCGTTGACGATATGGCCCGTAACTTATTTCGGTTGCATCTCGGACTATTTGTATTTACACAACATTTCAATCCTTTGAGCCTTAATTTACTACTTTGGTCCATGATAATAATTTTACTAAAACTTGTCTTCACAACTTTCGTTATCAGAGTAACTGCTGCTTGTATGAAATCAACCTTAGTTTTATAGTGCTGATAGGTAGAATGAATCCCTATCCCTACCTCCCCGTTTTACCGGCCGGAACTGTGAGCAACCTTAGGGAAGATCGGGTAACCAACCCCGGTGGAAACTTTGGTCATAGGCTGACAGGGAAGGGGGGGTTTGCTTCGGCAAGCCTGAGCGTCTGTTCTCCAGGAAGAGCGGCTCACAACAGCGTCTGTTAGGGGCGGCTGATCTACGTCCGAGTGCCAGTGAAGGACTCTAAGCACAACTGTGCACCCTGGTCCTCCGGAAAGTTAGGGGGGTTGGTGTCAGGCCCTGCGAGCCAGCCGTAAAAAAGCATTGCAACGGAAAATCAGCAACAGAGGAATACGAACCGAGACCAACGGCAACAACCCCAGCGACGAAATAGGACTTGCGATTGGAAACTCGGCACGTGGAACTGTCGATCTCTCAATTTCATCAGGAGCACCCGAATACTCGCCAATCTACTGAAGGACCGCGGATTCGGCATCGTAGCGCTGCAGGAGGTGTGTTGGACAGGATCCATGGTGCGAACGTTCAGAGGTAATCATACCATCTACCAGAGTTGCGGCAACACACGCGAGCTAGGCACAGCTTTCATCGTGATGGGCGAAATGCAGAAGCGCGTGATCGGTTGGTGGCCGATCGACGAAAGAAGTGCAGGTTGAGGATCAAGGGCCGATTCTTCAACTTTAGCATAATCAACGTGCACAGCCCTCACTCCGGAAGCACTGATGATGACAAGGACGCATTTTACGCGCAGCTCGACCGCGAGTACGATCGCTGCCCAAGCCACGACGTCAAGATCATCGTAGGAGACCTAAACGCTCAGGTAGGCCAGGAGGAGGAATTCAGACCGACGATTGGAAAGTTCAGCGCCCACCAGGAACGGCCTACGACTCATCGATTTTACCGCCTCCAAGAACATGGCCATACGTAGCACCTTCTTCCAACACCACCTCCCCTATCGTTACACCTGGAGATCACCACAGCAGACGGAATCGCAAATCGACCACGTTCTGATTGATGGACGGCACTTCTCCGCATTATCGACGTCAGGACCTATCGTGGCGCTAACATCGACTCTGACCACTACCTGGTGATGGTCAAACTGCGCCCAAAACTTTCCGTCATCAACAATGTACGGTACCGACGCCCGCCACGGTACAACCTAGAGCGACTGAAGCAACCGGATGTCGCCTTAGCATACGCGCAGAATCTCGAGGCAGCGTTGCCAGAGGAGGGTGAGCTCGATGTGCCCCCTCCAGAGGACTGCTGGAGTACAGTAAAAGCAGCCATCACCGACGCAGCCGAGAGCACCATCGGGTACGTGGAAAGAAGTCGACGGAATGAATGGTTCGACGAGGAGTGCAGAGCGATTTTCGAGGAAAAGAACGCAGCACGGGCGGTAATGCTGCAGCATGGAACCCGACAGAACGTGGAACGGTATAAACAGAAGCGGAAACAGCAGACCCGCATCTTTCGGGAGAGAAAACACCGCCTGGAAGAAGCGGAGTGCGAGGAAATGGAACTACTGTGCCATTCCCAAGAAACACGGAAGTTCTACCAGAAGCTCAACGCATCCCGCAACGGCTTCGTGCCGCCAGCCGAAATGTGCAAGGATAAGGACGGGAGCCTCTTGACGGACGGACGTGAGGTGATTCATTCAGCAGCTCAAAAATAACAAAGCAGCTGGTAAGGATGGTATTGCAGCCGAACTCATCAAGATGGGCCCAGAAAAGTTGGCCACCTGCCTGCACCGGATGATAGTCAGGATCTGGGAAACAGAACAGCTACCGGAGGAGTGGAAGGAGGGGGTAATCTGCCCCATTCACAAGAAAGGCGACCATTTGGAATGTGAGAACTTCAGAGCGATCACAATTTTGAATGCCGCCTACAAAGTGCTATCCCAGATCATCTTCCGTCGTCTATCACCTAAAATGACCGAGTTCGTGGGAAGTTGTCAAGCCGGCTTCATTGACGGCCGATCGACAACGGACCAGATCTTCACCGTACAGCAAATCCTCCAGAAATGTCGTGAATACCAGGTCCCAACGCATCATTTGTTAATCGACTTTAAGGCGGCATACGACAGTATCGACCGCACAGAGATATGGAAAATCATGGACGAGAACGGCTTTCCTGGGAAGCTGATCAGACTGATCAAAGCAACGATGGACGGTGTGCAAAACTGCGTAAGGGTTTCGGGTGAACTATCCAGTTCATTCGAATCTCGCCGGGGACTGCGACAAGGTGACGGACTCTCATGCCTGCTCTTCAATATTGCTCTAGAAGGTGTAATGCGACGAGCCGGGCTCAACAAGCGGGGTACGATTTTCACGAAATCCGTTCAATTTGTGTGCTTTGCGGACGACATGCACATTATCGCAAGAACATTTGGAACGGTGGCAGAACTATACACCCGCCTGAAACACGAAGCAGCAAAGGTCGGACTGGTGGTGAGTACGTCAAAAACAAAGTACATGCTAGTAGGCGGAACCGAACATGACAGGATTCCTCTAGGAAGTAATGTCACGATAGACGGGGATACTTTCGAGGTAGTGGAGGAATTCGTTTACCTTGGATCCTTACTGACGGCTGACAACAATGTGAGTCGTGAAATACGAAGGCACACCATCAGTGGAAGTCGTGCCTACTACGGACTCCAGAAGAAACTACGGTCAAAAAAGATTCACCCCCGCACCAAATGTACCATGTACAACAGAACGCTTATAAGACCGGTGGTCCTCTATGGACACGAGACATGGACTATGCTCGAGAAGGACCTGCAAGCACTCGGAGTTTTCGAGCGACGTGTGCTAAGGACGATCTTCGGCGGTGTGCAGGAGAACGGTGAGTGGCGGCGAAGAATGAACCACGAGCTCGCTGCACTCTACGGCGAACCCAGCATCCAGAAGGTGGCCAAAGCCGGAAGGATGCGGTGGGCAGGGCATGTTGCAAGAATGCCGGACAACAACCCTGCAAAGTTGGTGTTCGCTACTGATCCGGTTGGCACAAGAAGGCGTGGAGCGCAGAGAGCACGATGGGCGGACCAGGTAGAGCGTGATCTAGCGAGCATTGGGCATGACCGAGGATGGAGAGCGGCAGCCGCAAACCGAGTATTGTGGCGTACTATTGTTGATAATGTCTTATCTTAAATGTGATGTTGTACAAATAAATGTATGCATGTAACCTAAAAAATGTAAGAAATTAGATCTGTTGACATGAGTTTTACAGCAATTTGTTATGTATTTTCCTCGGATTTTCACTAACACGTTCTCACATATCGCACCAAAACAACCGGACGTGAAAATCTTATAAATAACTGTCATTTTGTGCGTGAAAAATAACTTAATGTTCCTTAAGGTCCAAACGCAACGTGGGCGGAAGCGGAACGGAAACGGAAAGTTTGACAGTTGCCACAAATGCTGTTCCGTTGCCCCTGCGCTTGGGCCTTTACTCTTTCGCTATACTGAAAAATTCCATATCACACTGTGTGTGAAAAGCAGATACCATCAACGCGAATACGATTTAATACCAAGAGCGATAAATAAATCTGGCATCACTTTTCAAATATAGGGTGTCCCAGGAAGTATAAGCACAGTTTATTATTGGAATAAAACAACGTTCTGTTAATGAACTCAATTTTTTTCATATATATGTTCTCTATAGTATACTCACAGACAAACAGACATAACTCTAACAAATTGTTCATTGAACAAGCATTTAACGGTCAATTTAAAAGTACCGTAGTTGGTAGTACCACCACCTGTGGCGTGTATAGTCAATTCCATTGCGTTTGACGTTTACACACTACCGCGTACCACCCACCACAGTGTACTCAACAGATGGCAGTAATGTTTTAGCGACGATGTTTTACAGTGAGAAATATTCAATGTGTTATGTCTGTTTGTCTGTGGTATGCTCTTTCAATTGGATGAAAATAATCCGCAGTTCCTTTAATAGGATGCCAAGGAGCGAAATTTTGATCTGACGCTACCCATGAGCTTCAGCACAGATTCCTTAGCGATAATTTTGGCCACTTTTGTCCAGTATTGTTCAAATTCTTCGCTTGAATTCGCTGCCTTAAAGTGTTTCGGCATATATCCCTTGGAAAGGGCCCAAAAAGTTTCGATTGACCGGGCCTCCGGACAACGCTTTTGGCACGTATTGCGCATTGTTTGTTTCGTACCAAGCTACCATGTCTTTCGAGTAGTGCATTGACCGGCGCCGGTGGTGTAGTGGTAAGCGTGACTGCTTTCTCACCCCAATGGGTCTGGGTTCAATCCCAGCCGAGGTCGGTGGGATTTTACTGAGGCATAAAAATCTCTGGTCACGTCTTTCTTCGGAAGGGAAATAAAGCTGTTGGTCCCGGCCTATGTGTGTTTGAATGGGTGCGATATCCTACGCAGGTATGGAAGCTGTCTTCCTGTCCGTCGGTGATTGGCACTAGATTGCGGAACAGAGACCGACGTTAAATAAAGGAAAGAAGAAGAAGAAGAATAGTGTATTGACACCAAATCTGACCAAAATAGTACTAGGCCATCATGTTGATGGATCATGAGCCGCAGACGCCGATTCAAACACTCCCGAACTTAAATTTCAATGTTCATCGTCTCCTTCGTCACAAATGGCTTTGACAACTTGCCGCACTCATATATCACATATCGCTTGCCGAACCATGGCCTTCTTACCAAATTTTTCGGTAAAAATTGACTTATCGGAATTGTCAACTTCCTGCCGAGGGGCACGCAATACAAAGAACCGGTGCTTTGAAGTTAAAATGCAATCAAAAGTACTTAAAGTAATTAATGCGTTTTTAAGTAGCACTGACGGTAATTAAAATTATCGATCCGTAATTAAAGTAATTAAAAGTATTGAAAATGTAATTAATGTACTTTAATTACGAAATTTCAACTGTAATTAATGGAGTAAAGTAGTTAATGTTCTACATTGTGTAATTAATGTAATTAAAGCAGTAGTTAATGGAATTAATTTAATTACAGCCGTTGCCTGCGTTGGAGTTAAAGGTTATTGCGTGCCCTTAGCTTCCTGTCCATCACGGACTGTGTCTCTCGGAAGCACCTTGTAGTCAAATTTGACGTATGTTTCATCGTCCATGATAACACACGCCAATGTTCCACACAGCAGGCTATCATATAGCTTCCGAGCCCTCGGTTTGATGGATACAGCTTTTTCTGACTCCGTTTCGCTTCTTGAACGTTTTCAGGCCGTTTCTTGCCTTGGCACGTTCGGCGTTACTTTTCGATGTCCTCAGTTTTTTTGGCCAAATCTCGAACATAGGCACTTTTATTATTGACGAAAGCTCGTTGATCTTCTGGCCTCCTTTTCCGTCCACCGATCCCGGTTTACGGCCGTTTTCTTTTCAGCTGCGTACCAGGCTTAAACAGCAATCAAACATAATATGAATCAGTCAATTTTATTCATGGATTGAACATCAAACTGGTAAAAGTGGAGCAATTAGTATGAGGTATGTGTCTCCAGTGGGATGCCCTACACACTTAGTTTTTTCTACCGAGCTCGGCTGTGCAAAAATAAGTTTCACTGAGATCTCAGCAAAAGTGACATTTGATTGCTGACTCTCGGATAATGATTAGCTGAATCTTAGCAAACAATTGAAATGTTTGCTGGGATCTCAGTAAAACTTTTTTTGCCGAGATTTGCACAGCCGAGCTCGGTAGAAAAAACTAAGGCCCCCTTGAAGCTGACCTAAATTGTCCTGAAAAAGAACTGGCATCACTGATAACTTCAAAATGTGGTGACTTACTTAACGCTTCAGTGGCGCCACCATGCCTAATGCGAGCACATTCCCAACTAAAAGCTTATTTACGAAGAAAGTGATTGTGAGAGTTATGTCTGTTTGACTGTGATATAACGGTTCCGAAATTTCTCCTATTTCACAGAACTTTTGATTCTCCAAATGAAAGTAAAACAATTAACCTTCTTCCCCGCTAACCACTCACTGACGGTCCGTCTCCATCATACTACAATTGTTGGGTGTTGCAACTATGTAGTAGGTATGTTAAGGCAAATAATTTTATTCCGCCAGATAGAAATGAACCACCATGCCACTTGATGAACATATCTTACGGTAACATCATTGCCAACCGAAAACCTACCTCCTCAGGTCAACACGGTGGTACAAAACACAAAGGGAAGTTGGTGGATTGGGCGGAAATTACCCACCATAACAAAGCGGAAATGTGCACTATATAGCACATAAAACTAGGGAAAAGGTCATAGTTAGGGTCATCAAAGCGAGCGAGGAAATGATTCTAAAAACAGCTTACTACGATATGCGGTCCACTTTCAAAGGGACTTTGTCCATCACAATCGTGCATTCAGTAGGCTATTTATGCATCCTCTCCCACAGAGAACATAAACTTTGACCTAATTTGGCTAATCATTCCGATTTCGTTGCAGGACTGCGGCATCTCTGCACGGACACCTTGCAGTGCGACATCGGTATGCTTTGCACGACGGAGAACATCACCAAAACTACAACCCTGGTGACCAGTAAAACCTTTATGACCAGTAACATGCTGCACAACAACAATACCAACCACAAGATGTGCCTGTGTGATAAGGAGCTCGGTTACGTAGAGGACAAGCATGACATTCGCCACTGCAATGGAGCGATCCCGGCGGTCCTATCGGCGACCCTGGTTCCGATGCTGGTTTCCATCCTGGGATGTACGGTACTTCGGAAACCGCTCAACTATTGGTTCGCCGACATATAAGCTCGGATGGAGCAGCACGCGTAGTACAGCCCGCTTGAAAGAAACGCTGCGAATCCATATCGTGCACCATTAATCATTACAATTAAATATAACAATTAGAAGATAAGCGCTGAATACGATGTGATTTACTCAAGTGCTAAGAGATAGAAACCAGGCAGTGCAAGTATTTTGCCTTTAAAGGAACCAAATTTTCCCCCTTCACCAAAACATCATGCCTTCGTGATCTATGCCTAAATGCACCCTCCTCGAACAAATAAAATGATCAAGATGTAGTAATCAAATACATATTAATTAGGCGCTCAACCGTGAACGAATACATTCGATCGTAATAGAGTAGGAAAGTTCGTAAAATTTACCTTACCCTTATAAGAGTGTTACATCATAGAGCTATTTTTAAATGTTGCTTTTCTACTCGCAAGGTTACACCAACAAATGACAAGGCAATTCATATTTTATAAAAACGAAGTACTCTGACCAATACATCGAACAAAAATTAATGCATATCAAAAGAGTGCAACAAGCTTTACTGTATATCAAATATAACGATAAAAACTTTTTTTTATGGCACCAGGTAATTTTTAAAATTTGTAACATTGTCTACACTAGTGAATAAGATAAAGACGTACTTTATTTTTCCCAAATACTAAAGAATTTCTCGTGTTTGTTTCTAACTATACACAACTGTAGAGAACAAGAAGGTGATGTTTTAGAATAGTATATAACTTCTATAGACTTTTACATATGTCAGACATATCGTGGCTTTCGTGCAGATAATCCAAAGAACAAAATAACGGAATTGTGGGAAAATCAAATACATTCAGTTTAGTGTTTAGACCCGGCAATGCAATGGAAATGGTATCATTCCAATAAAGATATTTAATTTAAGTGGCGGTTGCTTGTATCGTTGTGTGTCTCTTTCGAGAATATTTTTTTATATTAACAAGAATTCCTTCTTCTCTTGAGTGTAGAACACCATGAGCATCCATCTTCTCTTGACTGTAGAACACCTTGGTATCTCGATATCCTGCATCGCCGACCATCTTCATAGACTTCATGTGTCAATGACTCGGAAAGCAACGCGGTCGAATAAGCTTCTCCAATCAAAACTCTCTGCAATTCTTCTTTATGTTTATTGACTCTCTGTGTCTTACACTGCAACATTTTCACCACTTCTTCGATTTTTACTTCACTTATTTTTTTATCACGAAAACTAAAATAATCTTCAATTTTGTTTTATTTATTGTTTACTTAGTATTGCGAAGTCAATCGATTTTATTCTGCAAGTCAATAGAAAATTGCTTAAAAATTTCTCAAGTACGTATTCATGTTCAGTTCTTATATGAACTCCGAATAGGAGCTCATTACTACAAACTGGTAGCTGTTTTCAGCATTAATTGCCACTTTCCGATTAGCTTCTTCGATAATGTGGTTCCACCTTTCTTTATCTCCTACCACAGACAAACAGACTTAACTCTTTGAAAAACTTCTTCTTGAAAACATAGTATCTCAAAACATATAACCTCACTAACGACATCTCTCTGGCTTCTCGCGGAAAACAAGCTTGCTCGCTAACTCGTAAACAATATTGCATAAAAGTTCTATAGAATATATAGAAACGTCAAAGTGATCCGATGCCAGCGCTGTGGCGAGTAGTTCGCGGAACTGATAATATTCAAATCAACCGTTAAATGCATGAACGAAGATACACAATGAAGAGTTACGTCTGTTTGTCTGTGCTCCTACCTTGAAAGGGTTGTTTGGTCCTGTTCCATTTCCTTGTAAATTGTATTGTTTGCCTGAGCACCTGACGTAGATATGCCTCTTTTTCCGTCGATGAATCTATCAACCGGTTAGCACTCGTGTTTTTTTAGTTACCATGTGGACGTAATTTGTGATTAGTCCCATTTCCTTTCAAATTGTCTCATTATTTATGAATGACTCTTATATTTGAAATGACGTTTCACACAAGGGGTGGTTACTCTACACACTTATTTTGTACCAATTTTTTCTCAGTGTGTCTCACGTGTGCCGCAGCTATGCCAGCAGTGCCGAGAATGCAAGTCATCGTACTGACTTTTGTTTGCTTGTGGCATGCTTGGCAACTCTAATAAAAAATTTCCATAAATGAATGAAAACCCAAATGATTTAACTATTCCACAATTTGCTTAACGACCCCAAACACGTCGTTAAGCAAATTAACCATAACATTTTTATTGGGGAATCCGTTTAATTTGACAGTTCGAATGTTTTGTTTTGAAGGAACAACACAACAAGCAGTGGAATCTGAACCAAGGCGATGATCGACGGCGCTGGTGGTGTAGTGGTAAGCGTGAGTGCTTTCTCCCCCCAATGGGTTATGGGTTCAATCCCAGCCAAGGTCGGTGGGCTTTTTCTGAGGCATAAAAATCTCTGGTCACGTCTTCCTTGGGAAGGATTTCAATTTGAACTCAAATATTTTGAACAAATACCAAATGAGCCGTATGAATAAAAAGAGTTTACTTTACTTTCCCGTGCTATTCTTACGGGAAAAGTAAAGTAAACGCTTTTATTCATACGACCTATTACATGCTATTACATTTAATAGTACGTTCAAACGCTGTACAGACTAGAGAGTTATAAAATGTTATAACGGTTGTCAAATAATTGCAGTACAGAAACCACCATCAAGATAGCGCTATAACATGTTATACCTCTGTAGTCTGAACGTACTATCAGACTACAGAGTTATAACATAGAGGTTATAACATGTTATAGCGCTATCTTGATGGTGGTTTCTGTACTGCAATTATTTGACAACCGTTATAACATTTTATAACTCTCCAGTCTGTACAGCGTTTAAAGCCCAGACCAAAACACACAATATGTGTTTTGGTCTGGGCTTTAAACGCTGTACAGAATATTATTCTAGATAGAGGTGGAATTAGGGCGTAACAGCTTTTGTAAACAATGACTTTTCTCGATGATGTCTAGAAATTCAATTGGGTTCTTTAATTTTGAAAAATGTATTGTTTTTTATACATCATCCGATAGAGCTTCGTTTTCTGAGCACAGCGATATTTTTTTTGAACCCACATACTTTCATCTCGATTTTTAAATTAAGATTTAAAGTAAAATAACAACTTCGCTGTTTGACACTAAACTAATAAAATGACAGCTCGCTCCCATACAAAGTGACATCGAGGGGAGCTAATAAGGTGACTTTTGCAAATGTAATCGAACTTATTTAAAATAGTTCCAGTGTACCCAAATTGATAATATTTTGGGTTTGGGTTCCATTTTTAATGCAGATTACGAATATGTATTTACCTCAATACCCTTTAAAGAACCCAATTCACGCCCACGCAAACCAACATAACCATCGAGTAGAGGAAGACTTCCCCTACCTGATGGTGATATTGATTTGCTTAGGCGAGCCTTGAGTTTCTAGAAATCATCGAGAGAAGTCATTGTTTACAAAAGCTTTTACGCCCTAATTTAATCTCTATCTAGTTCGAGATCTAGATATGCTCACCCCTAGGTAGAATTGATGTTTTATTGTAAAATCCAATTTGACATGAGATTTTGAAATCTAGTTACTTTTTAATTGGGCCCAACCACACTAATACAATTCCACAAATTTTTAGTGACGAATTTCTATGTGAAATTCCACATGATTTTCATGTGACCACACATAAACAGAATCCAACCAAGAGGCACACATGAAATTTATAAGTCAAATCAATAGAATGTGTGATTACACATGGCTTTTATGTGTACACATTTGGAGGCGAACCAGCCCAAGGCTGAAAGCCTTCCTAATAAAGGTAAATAATAATAATAATGTGTACACATAGATATCAAGAGCAAATTTTCATTACGTCGAATGTAACAAAGGTAAACAAAGTCGAGCTATCAGTGTCAATCGATGCTCCTGCTATTACACTATATACTGTCCGAATATAGGATCACATCCCATTTTTAAATTTATTTACCAGTCGAATTGCTTTTTGACGTAATCACCTTCCGATCAAAATAGTTTTCGATGTTACTTAAGTCACCCGATTTCTATGGAGATGCCGTTTGCCTTAAGTAACAGCACCGAGAAACCCGTGAAAAGTGTACTTTCGTCGTTTCGCTTTCTCATTATTAAAGTGAATCAATCGAACTGTTTGTTGCTAAGATGATTTCGGTGGTCCTAAAATGATGAATGGGCTGCACGTAAGGAGACGTAATTGATAATTCTCTCGAATATCCTGGTAAATACACTTTGACTTAAGTAACAATAGGGGCCACCAAACGACGTATAATAACTTTTGACTCAAAAACCAGTATTTCTTAGCATGAAAACTAGCGATTTGCCTTTGTATGATTAAAACCCGGCTAAATATGTTAAACATTGTTATCACTATGAGATTATATGTGTTTAATTGGAAATAGGAATAACTTTTCGGTCATCAAAACAAAACTTTATTTTTCTCGGATCGGTGCGAATGTTACTTACGACATAATGAAAATTTGCTCTTGATATCATTTGTTGGTCACATTGCAAAACTTCATGTGTGGAACACATAAAAACAATCTTTGAAATTTTATCAGTGTATAAGAAAGGCCTCCATCAATCGGTTTCAATTTGTTTGGATTTATCTACACGGCGAATGAGAACGACCCAAATTTGAGTTTAGTTCACTCATAATCGCCAAAAGTGCAGGAACTCAGCGATGAGTAAAATTTGTCTCATGGTTTCCTGTGGAAAACCTAAAAAAATGTGCCGGAAAATGAGGAAATTGACGAAAATTTTATTCAGTCTCGAAGTAGTACCAATAGACTGAGTGAATCCAATCTTTACTTTTCTCAAATTCGGGAATTTTTCCCTGGAAAATCCTGGAAAAACCTGGGAAAACATGAGGCAAATTTACTCATCGTTGAGTTCCTGCACTTTTGGCGATTATGAGTGAACTAAACTCAAATTTGGGTCGTTCTGCCAACCTATTTTCGTGTATGCCAAATGTTCTAGGATTTCCATATCGATATTTCGATACTACAGATTTTATCCCAGTCTTTGTTGATCTAGTAAAACAAAAAATATGAATTGCAGGACGATTTGGAGAACCTAGATCATCTGGTATACGTGAAAATAATTAAACATTATCCATATAGAGACTATGAATCTGTTTGGACATATTTCGATACTACAGACTTTATCCCAGTCATGGTTGATCTAGTAGAATAAATCATCTGAACTCCAGAACGATTTGGAGAACTTAAAACATCTGTTATACATGGCAATAGTTCATGCATGATCCACATAGACACTGTGCATTTGTCTGGAAATATTTCGATACTAAAGACATTGTCCCAATCTCGGTTGATATAGTAGATTAAATTATCTGAACTCCAGGACGATTTGAAGAACCTACAACATCTGGATTACTGAGAAATAGATCATGCATGATCCACATAGACACTTTGAATCTGATTGGACATTTTTTGATACTACAGACATTATTGCAGTCTTGGTTTATTTAGTAGAACAAATCAACCGATGTCCTGGACGATTTGGAAAACCTTTCATTTCCGGTATACATAGTAATAAGTCGTGCATGATCTACACAGTCACATGTATACGATTCTTCAGACCCCAAGGAATATCCGTGTAAATACAGAACCGCGACATGACCAATAAGACTTATGAAACTCTGGTAACTTCTCGATTATATGCAGGGTGTTTGGTTTGAATCGGTCAAAAATTGCGAAAACTAGAGCCAAATTAACTACAACATTTAGGACACCAAAATACGTCAGAGACGAAGAGGTTAACTTTCAAGAAAATTTGCATTTCAAATGAAAATGCATTAATTTTTTTTTAAATTATGTTTCATCAAATCTAGGCCGGTATTATTCAATAGAATCTCATAATGTAAGGGTGTTTTATTATGTTCACTAATTACTCAGAATTTATACTATACATTAATAACTGAAGATGATACATTGTTATTTTTTATTTTTTTTTTTTAGTTTACAAACGATACTTCTTTAGCTCAGTCGGTAAAGATGCAGCTACAAAGCAGAACCAAGCTGGAGGCGACTGAGTTCGATTCCCGTCCGGTCTATTAATTTTTGGGATTGGAAAATTGAGGATAGGATGGTACAGGCATAGAAAACTCTCAATTAAAATGTGAAAGTACTTCAAAGAACACTTAGTTGAGAGCAGGCAAAAATCTAATATGCTATAAGGAATAAGCTTGAAATGCCATGTAGTAGTATAAAAATGGTATTTTTAGGCAAGGAAAACAGTTTTTTTTTTGTCGTGGATTAGTATTTGAAGCCGCGGATTTCTTTTGAGAAATCGCGGATTTCGCGGATCAAATTTAGAAAATCTTGTAACAGCCCTGCAGCTCGAAGCTGGATTTCAGGAAATAAGGGTGAAAAGGTTAGTGAAGGTTAAGATTAGGTGCAGTTATGGCACATGCTTGAGCCAGTGCTTGCATCAGCGATTATTCCGCCAGACCTATCCGAAGCTTCCCAGCAAGTGAACGAATGATGAATCGAGCATCGATTGAATTTTGTCGATCTTCTTGGCCATCGCAGCCGTTCCGGTTATCTTGGCTTTTCTCCTTAGCTTCCCAAAAACACCCTACACCGAGTACGGTGCCGGACGGAATTACAGTAACTCCTGAATCGAAACGAAATTAAAATGGGAATTCAATTTCCAAACAACAGCTTACTTGTCTCCCTTTTCTCCGACGAACAGCAACAACAATTGGCGTTAACGGCGACTCTGTAGCTCTTTACTCCTATGAGTAAATCCATGAGCAAACGTCAGACTGTGCGTGAAACATGGCGGACTTTGTACTATCCTTTCACTCCACCGAAATTTGCTGTAATTTGCTATTTGCTGGAAGAGAAAATTTTTCGACGGTGCCGTCAATGCCAATAACTCCAACACCAAAACAAACTTCAACCAAATGAATCATAACCCATGGTGGGTATAACATGGTGATACAGCTTTGTCATTATATGGGCGAGGAGATCCAATCATTTTAGAAACCCGCGGTGGGAGTTTGAGTTTCTATAATTATACCAACTCAGCGGTGGGAAATCGCTTTTTGTCGGATTGCTAAACTTAATAGAGACCCGTTAGGGGCGTCATTTAACGACGGAAATGAGAACTAGAGGTGGAGATGTTCTAAGTTGTCGGGAGCTTGGGTGTGCACACCAAATTGAAATCACTGAAAATCACCAAAATTTTGCTGATTTTAGGCTTGATGGAATATCCAGCAAAATGATGCTGCTGAATTTTCCAGCAATGGAAATTTTCTTTACTGAAAATCAGCAATGATTTTAACAATATTTCTTTACTAAATTCACTAAATCCAAAATTATGACATTTGGCAGCATTTTGCTGATTTAACGAGTGCTGCGTGCTGCCAACAATGTTAATTGACGTAATATATTGGTCTACTATAGCCTTCTCTGACGTTTGTGAAATGCTTAAGTATTAGTGCAGAACTTGGGGTAAATTATAAGTATTAGTGCAAGAAAATCTTTGAATTCACCCAAAGTTCTGCACTAATACTTGTGTAATTCATAAACGTCAGAGAACACACTTAATCTAGCTCGGTAAAATCTCCAACAGCCGATTACATCGGCATTTACTTTTGCTGACATATCTGCAAAATATCTGTTTGTTAGCTGACATCTCAGCAAAATGATATTTGTTAGCTGAGTCTCGGCAATTGTTTTACTGTACCTCAGCAAACTAAATTGCAGAACTACTCGGCTGTTGGAATTTCGGCGAAAAAATTTAAGTGTGAAGTCTATGTTACCTGACTTACAACGAATATACGTTGTACACAGCAAAAAAATGTAATATCGATCAATGTAATTCAAGCTGACGTATGAAATAATGATGTAATAGCAAAAAGCAGATACAATATTACATCAATGGATGTAATTTTGTTCGCAAAATCGATGTACATCGTACAAAGTTATATTACACAACCGATGGATTGACCTGGTTGCAGCAGTTTGGATGTAATATTCAACAACTTTTTTTTTTCTGTGTATAAAGATTTTCACGTCCGGTCGTATTGATGCGATACTCTCACATATGTTAGTGAATATCCGAGGAAAATACAAAACAAATCGATGTCAAACTGATGTTGACAGATCAACTTTCATAGATTGCTGATCATGATCCAGCAATCCGTTTTACTGATATTTGAAACTTGAATTTGGTGTGTACCTTTCATGAGATTTAATGTTGACCTGCTACGATCTCACATTTCCATCAGTGTGCGTTTTACCGATTTTACCGAATGTGGCTGCGCTCTGAAAAGAGAAAGCTGTCATCGAAGCGTCACGCAAGCGTCACCTTGTTGACTTGCATCAATGTAATATAAAAGGGTGTAGCTGAATTCGTTATCTCTTTCGTTCTCCCAGTTGACGGAGTCTGACATCAATCTCCGATATCTATTTTAACAGCAGAGAAACGAAAGAGACGACAAATTCACTGGGCCGCACCTGTTTTCATTCGTTGGACTTTGATTGCTTGTTCGCTTTCGACCGTTTAAATGCCCGCACGAAATGAAAAAAAAACACTGCGAAGAAGAAGACACATAAAAGCAGTTACTGTTCGGCCCTTTAAACGTGTGCAAAATAATCGTGAATTAAAATCTAGGAAATAGGTACAGGATTATCGTTTGTTTTGTACTTGATTGAAAGCATAAAAAGTTGTGGAAAGTCCAGTGAAATGAGTGTGCTTTAGTTTTCGGTTAACGACGGAGAAACGCGGTTGCAAAGTATACTACTCGTAAGTGAAACAAAACCCATGGTTCAACTGCCGTCGAACGATGGAGGAACCACACACGACACCGAAGAAGAAATCCAGCAGCCTCGAGCACGACGCAATCTTCAAAACGTTGGAAAATTTCACCGCTCCGACCAGTCCGAAGGTAAATATTTAGATTATTGATTGCTTTTTGTCATATAAGTGTCCTAATGGGCATGATTCAATCGGCAGCTTCCAACGATCAAGGATTTTTGCATCTTAAAACCGGTCAGCCGGGGTGCCTTCGGGAAGGTCTTTCTGGGCTACAAAAAGAATGACCAGAACAAGCTATTTGCCATCAAGGTAAGTTTGCCTCGTTAGTTTTGTATGGTGAAGGTTGTTTTCTAATGCCGATTCTGTGTCGTAGGTGATGCGAAAATCGGAAATGATCAACAAGAATATGGTATCGCAAGTTATCACCGAGCGGAATGCCCTTGCCCTCTCGCGGAGCCCGTTCTGCGTAACCCTGTACTATTCGCTGCAAACAATCTCCTCCATCTACCTGGTCATGGAGTACATGGTGGGTGGCGATCTGAAATCCCTCCTGGCCATGTACGGCTTCTTCGAGGAAACCGCTGCCCGGTTCTACGCGGCCGAGATATGCCTGGCTCTGCAGTATCTCCACAAGCATGGGATCGTTCATCGTGACATCAAACCGGACAACATGCTAATCTCGGCTACGGGCCACGTCAAACTAACGGACTTCGGACTGAGCCGTATCGAGATGAGTCGAGATTTGGAGATATCCGATCTGATCAATTGTTCACCGAGTTTGAACGCTCGAACGCCGGGTCAGTTGCTCTCGCTCACATCGCATCTTTCGTTCGGATCGCACGACAAGAACCAGATGGAACAGGAACAGCAGCATGTGGAGAAGGAACAGCTGCACCAACTTTCCGAAAACGATTCGGATGCATCGTTCTCGCATTCGAAGCAGAACGATAGTAAAATGTCCGGTGTGAGTCCGTTCTTTTCGGCCGAGCAGAATGCTAGCTTGTTGGAAGATTTGAAGGAAGTGCAGCAGGCGGTGGTGGACAGCCGGAGAGGGGATCTATCTTCATCGTACTACACGTGCAATTCTAGCATCGAGGGCAAGAGTAGCAGCGGAAGTTATGCTTCGCTGAACGGCAATGACAATCGAATGGCCACGAACTGTGATAGAAAAGAAGCGATATGCGATAAGGAGAATCATTGTAACATGAGATCGGTAATGACGGAGAAATTTAAGGATTCTTTCGATTTTCTTTTGGTAGACATTTGACCTGCAGCATACGGAAGGTCGTTCATTGGTATAATTTCAACGGGGGATTTTTCGTTTCAGCTTCCGGGGCACAAGTGTAAGACTCACGTGAGCAACGATTCGGGGGTTTCCAGTCGGAAAAGTGATATGTCAAACATTCCAGCGGAGCTGTCGGCCATCGAGAAGCCGGACAGTTCCAACCACAGCAATAAGGACTATTCGTGTTCGGATTTTTCACGCAGGTTTGCAGAAACATGGAGGGTGGTTCGTTGGATGCGTTATTTGATTTGTTTTATCGGTGCATTTCAGCTACAGTATGAGCAATATCAATGAATCTGGCAACTCGAGACATCACTGCGATTCACCGATCCGGAACGGGATGCGCTGTTTCAAAAGACCGGAATATTTTAGGTAAGTATCGTAACCCTTGAAAGTGGATCAATGGCTTTAAGACGAAAGTCTAACAGTATATGACTAGTGCTATCGGATTTTGTCAACTTCTCTCTGTATCCGGAATTTTTCTTCTACTAATCTGACATCAACTCGATTTCAAATCATACATATTCGTCATCAAGATGGACCATTGGGGACGGCCGTGGCGTACACTGAGGCAAAGGGACGACGAACGAATTCCTTAAAAAGCACTTATGAATCTTCGACAAATGGATTTCTTATAGAAATCATAAGTTTGACTTATGAAACATGATTAAATGATGAATATAAAAGGGAACAGAACGGAATCGGACTTTCGACGAAGCGCATCACGCAAAAGATGAAAGTCGAAAACAGATGCAACTCTGTTGAATGTTCTCTGCAGTCCGCAAATCGCACCGTGTGCTCCATAATTTGTGCGACGTAGAGGCAGTCTTAGCATAAGGTTATTACGAAGCGGTCGGGGTTGAACATTCAGGTCAATTTGCCTCAGGATAGCTTCGCAATCTGTCCTTCCTTGCAGGATATCGGCCTCGGTTAGGGCGCTGTTTGCGTCTCTTCTAGTCCGGAGAAGTTCTAGGTCGAAAAGTTGACAACGGCTTTTGTAACTGGGTAATCGAAACGGATCATTCCAAGGCAATCTACGCAACGAAAAATGAAGTTGAACAGATTCAATTCTCTCAGCATCGTTGTCGTAGTTTGGGTTCCAAACCGCTGAACAATACTCAAGCGTCGATCGAACAAGCGAACAATAGAGAGATTTTAGACAGTAGATATCAGTGAAGTTTTTAGCTATCCTAAAAATGAACCCTTAAGTTCTTGACGCCTTATCAACAACATATGCAATGTGTTGCTTGAATGAAAGCTGCGAATCCATGATCACACCCAAGTCTATCACCTGATTCACGCGTTCGATTGTCGAGCCAAGCTGGTCATATCTAAATATTATCGGTTGTTGTTTTCGTGAGAACGTAATAGCGGAGCATTTGGCTGGGTTCACTACCATTCTGTTTAACCTGCACCAACTAGCGAATACATTCAGTTGACGTTGAAGAAAGTGACAGTCAGTAATGTAGCAGATTCGTAGGAAGATTTTGAGGTCATCTGTATATGATAACCGAGGAGCTTCGATGACCAGATGCACGTCGTTGAAGTACAGTATAAAAATCAACGGCCCCATGTGGCTTCCCTGAGGTATACCTGATGTGGCGAAGAAGCTAGCTGATCTGCAATCTCCTATGGTGACCGGTAAAATATGATCGAAAGCAACTCAGAAGATTACCGCATACACCGTGCCTGCCAATAGGTCTGAATAAATAACGTCCGACATGTTTTCTATTATATACGATGTGAGACACAGCAGATTGGTAGTTGTAGAGCGGCCGACAGTAAACCCATGTTGATCAGCACTCAAATACTGCTTGAATTTGGACAGCAACGGTTCCATAATCACTAGTTCGAATAGCTACGAAACGGCACTTAACGATGTAATTCCTCGATAGTTATCCACAGCTCGTTTCCTTCCTTTTTTGTGGACGGGAAACATGTGCGCAAATTTCCAGCAAGATGGAAATATGCCACCGAAGAGAGACATTCGGAACAGGCGATGAAGCGGAATTAACAAGCTAGCAATATGTCTCTTCAAAAATACAGATGGAACTCTATCAGGTCCAGGATTGAAGGATGACTTGAGCAGAGTCGCGGCCTTAGAAATCATCTCTGCATTAACATCAATTGCACCCAGCGTTTGATCATTTACTGGAACGTTCCTGGCAGCCAGGTTAATATGGTCGTCAGTTAGTATCTCATTAGTGAACACTGTAAATCTTCTCAATGCTGCTCTCTTGATTGACTTCAACCTACGTAGCTCTCTCGTCTGCCAGGGAGGGTGAGACACTTTGTGGTGAGTTCTTTTCGGGACGTGTCTGTCAATGATATATGCCAAGACATGTGAAAAGGTTTGCGGTGCAGCCTCAACGTCATCTGGATCAAGGATGTTCTCCCATACTATGCTAGACAAAACATCTAAGATGCTACGCTGGTCAGCTTTACGGAAGTCATAAGAAACCGTAGCAGGATAGTCGTCGAAATCACGCACGAGTTTGTCCTCAACTGACAATCCCCCCTATTCTGCGAGTTACGTGACTCTCTCTCACCGATGAGGTGACTCTCCATTTGATTTGCATGGAGAGTCACCTCACACGAGGTGACAATTGTCAACAACATCAGAATTCATTCCACCGGCGTTTTGGTAGAAGATCACGACGTCCTGCTTGCGGCAAGGAATCGAACGACTGCTCTCACTGGAAATCACAGATAAATCAGGCAATAACTGACCATCATCAAGTCTCATTGGATACTCGCCATAGAGTGGGTTGGAAGATCCCCTCTCCACATTCGACAGCAGGTCCGGAACGACTATAATGAACGAAGGCTGCTGATGACAGAACTGAGCCGGAGGGATTGGGGGCTTTCTACGGCGCGTTCCGGGTTTCCAGGATTGGGTGTTACAGAGGCATCATCACATTGACTAACATTGTCAGAATTGCTGAAAATTTGATCGGCATCAGGCAGTGAATAGTCAATATATTGATTGTACATACTTGCTTGTAGAGGTAAGGTGGAAGACTCCAGATTCATATCCAGCCACAGGTCCTGGACGACTATGCTGAACGCTGGCAGGAATCGGCACGACTGGGCTGGAGTAACCAGGAGCTTCCAAAGAGCGGTCTATTGTGCGTCCCGGAGATGAATTAGGATTGTTCGAACAGTAAAGCGGATGTTGTGAATGAGCAGTATCAGAAATGCTTCTCAACTGGAACCAGCCGGCAGGTGCTTGAAGCGTTGCACTAGAACACGGAAACTGATCAGGCAAATGACTGTAACATTCGTAACTCATGTGATATAGTGCAGTCAACTTTCGCTCGTTGGGCTAAACCCGTAACTCACTTAATGAAGGGCTTTCGTTAGTTGGGCTGAGCTGTCAAGCTGGTAAGCTGGTTGAGGGATACACCGATTGTTTATTATCATCACAATCCCTTAGCAACTATTCAAATTGTTCATATGGTGTTCAAGCAAACTTGACCGTTTTACAAGATTCTGATTTGATGTCTATTTGCAGGTGTGCCGGAAACCTTTTGAAATGGTCTACAACTAAAGCAAATAATAGATCGGACTCAGAGCCATCCATGCAAGATGATAGCTCTTAATCTCTAGATGAACCGGATTGGAATCTGTGTTGCATTATTAACTGCTTGCTTACCCGGGACCCGTGCAGAAGGCCGAAACACAAAAGGCCGAAAATATTCTAAGGTACCACTAAAGGCCTAATATCGAAAAGGCCGAAAACCAAAAAGGGCGAAAGCCAGAAAGGCCAAAAACCAAAATCGAAAATTGATCAAAAACTGAATTGGTTGAAAACAGCATTCAAACTAGCCTTTCTGCTCGAACAGCTGACTCGGCTCGTTAAATGTTTTACATTCACAAAAAATGAAGCCAAGATGATATTATATATAGACGTGTTCTCACTTGCTGACTTTGTGACACAAAGTGCGTGCGCGCACCGGTCCACTTTGTCGCTTTCCCGAGGTTGTTTTTGGTCTTTTGTGATTCAGCCTTTTGTGATTCGGCCTTTTGTGATTCTGCCATCTGTCCGGGTCCCGGGTAAGCAAGCAGTTAATAATGCAACACAGATTGCAATCCGGTTCATCCAGAGATTAAGAGCTATTTTCTTGCATGGATGGCTCTGAGTTCGATCTAGGTGCTTGGCGCGTTCGAGTTCTTTATTTGCTTTAGTTGAAGACAGTTTCAAAGAATTTCGGTACACCTGCAAATATACATCGCGTCAGAATCTTGTAAAACGGTCAAGGTTGCTTGAACACCGTATAGGTTTGATAACTTCCAGTTTCTCTTTCACCTCCTGCTCCGAAAAGGAAAATTTAAACGCAATCACAAATGGCATTATAACTTCAGGGTTGCCAAACTCATGGGATATGGTCACACTTTGGCCTACTTTGGTATTTTCGGAATAGCGCTTGGCACAGCTTTCGGGACAGCTGAATTACTCGGCACAGATTTAGGTGTGCAGAGTTTAGCTCCCCTTGAGTATTATCATAAACCAGGAAAAGATCCGTTCAAGTTCAAGTTATGGGTAGTCTACAATCTAGTGTTGGTATTGCTAGTGGTTCAAATTGCAAATATATTCATATATCTTCGCATCTGCACTTCGACTGTAGGCCACACTCTGTGGTTGAAGTTGGTTCATCTGCACACCCATAGGCTCTTGCGAGGCTCTTGCTAAACAACAAATCGTCATCAAGCAGGAACCGCTGAGCGCACCGAAACTCACTCTGCAGCGAGCGAAATGCTCTAAATTCAGCAAGGCCTAACAGTTGACCGATCGGTAGACAAGCCATCGCCATTGTCAGGAATGTTCCGAAAACATCAAGGAAGTCCAAATTATTCCAGGAAAGTTATGAAATTTCAGGAAAACTTGGGAACTTCGCTGATGCCCAGAGAAGTTCAAGAAAACTTAGACGTTCAGAAAACATTAGGGACTATCCGAGATCTTTTGAAAAAGTTTCATGAATATTAGGAAAATGCGACCGCATTGTAAATTAGGTGCCGTTTGCATAAGGGCATTTTTCCAGATTTGGGGTAACCTCACGAAAGTTCATTGCAGTTCCTTCAATTTCAGGAAAATTGCGGTAAATTTTGAGAGGTTCCAAATTTTTCAAGAAATCTAGAAAACTTCAAAGATGTTTAGAAATATGTTGAGAACCTCTCAGAAGTTCAGGGATTGTAACGATGGTTCTATTAAATTCAGACCAGTACCAAGAGCTTTAGCAGAAATGGAAGAATTTTAGAAAAGTATCTAGTACTTTATGAAAATTCAGAAAACTTCTGAGCACAGTGCCATTAACTTCAGGGAAATTAAAAAAAAAAAAAATGAAGAAATTTCGACAACTTCTGGGAAATTGTTAAAGCTCCAGGAACTTAGTAGAATCAAAAAAAAATTGGGGACTTCAGAGAAGATACATGATAATTAGGAAAATTGAGGGAACTTAAGGTAAGTCTAGAAAAGTTCCGGGAAGTACAAGGATTTTGTTAGAATACCTAATCACTGAATAGCCTTTGTCATACGTTGCCCAAACCTCTTCCGATTCAGACCTACTTTTATCGGGTTATGGGCCCAGATATAGTCGCCGTAGAAGCGACTCTGTTTGAAGAAATTTTATTTTGAAAAACAGAAAGGATCTGGAAGCCAAGATGTCCATTCCGAATGTTTTTTCCTCGGTTTGTTTTCCGTCGATCTTGTTTTCCGTGCTGAGATCCAATGCAACCGATGCCAGGAAGGCAGCTCCCACACCTGGACCCTACCTATCGACCCATCAACTCATGAACCGGGGCTGCGATAGGTTAATCTATGACGAACTTCAACCACGCAACTTCGAACTCGTAGCACTGCAGGAACTTTGCTGGACGGGACAAAAGGTATGGAAAAGCTGGCATCGAGCGGCTACTTTCTACCAGAGCTGTGGCACCACCAACGAGCTGGGAACCGGTTTTGTAGTGCTGGGTAAGATGCGCCAACGCGTGATTGGTTGGCAGCCGATCAACGCGAGGATGTGCAAGTTGAGGATTAAGGGCCGTTTCTTCAACTACAGTATCATCAACGTACACTGCCCACACGAAGGGAGATCCGGCGACGAGAAAGAAGTGTTCTATGCGCAGCTGGAGCAGGTGTACGACGGCTGTTCGCAACGGGACGTCAAAACCGTCATCGGCGACATGAACGTTCAGGTAGGACGGGAGTCAATGTGTAAACATGCAATCGAGTCAAACAGCCTGCATGCCGTATCGAACGACAACGGCCAACGGTGAACTTTGCAGCTTCTCGGGGTATGGTAGTTCGAAGTACCTTTCAGTCACCTGGAGATCACCTGACCAAATCGATCACGTTCTAATCGACGGGAAATTCTTCTCCGACATTATCAACGTCCGCACGTACGTCAGCAGCAGAAAACGAAGGTGGTCCGGCAACAGACCTTGGAGCACGCGCAGAAGACGACAGGCTACCGGCCCCTGATCTTCAAGAAGTTGAGGAGGAGATCGGTCGGCTGAAGAACAACAAAGCAAGTGAGCTATTAAAATACGGTGGTGAAGCACTGGCTAGAGCGCTGCACTGGGTAATTGCCAAAATTTGGGAGGAGTGGATGGAAGGTGTCGTATGCCCAATCTACAGAAAGGGCGACAAGTTGGATTACTGCAACTACCGCGCGATCACACTGCTGAGCGCCGCCTACAAGGTACTCTCCCAAATTCTATGCCGCCGCCTGTCACCATTTGCAAGAGAGTTCGTGGGGCGATACCAGGCGGGATTCATGGGTGCCCACGCTACCACGGACCAAATCCTTGCGTTTCGGCAGGTTCTGCAGAAATGCCGCGAATACAACGTGCCCACACATCATTTGTTCATCGATTTCAAATCCGCATACGACACAATCGATCGAGATCAGCTATGGCAGATTATGCACGAGTACGGATTTCCGGATAAACTGACGCGATTGGTCAAGGCGACGATTGTTTGAGTGATGTGCGTTGTTCGAGTATCGGGGACGCTCTCGGGTCCCTTTGAATCTCGAAGGGGGTTACGGCAAGGTGATGTACTTTCGTGTCTGCTATTCAACATCGCGTTAGAAGGTGTATCAGAAGAGCTGGGATAGACACGAGTGGCACGATATTCAGGAAGTCCATCCAGCTCCTTGGCTTCGCCGATGACATCGACATCATGGCACGGAACTTTGAGACGGTGGCGGAAACGTACATCAGACTGAAGGCTGAAGCTAGGCGGATTGGACTTGCCATCAACGCATCAAAGACAAAATACATGAAAGGAAGAGATTCTAAGGAAGACAATGTTAGCCTCCCACCCCGAGTTCAGATTGACGGTGACGAAATCGAGGTGGTCGATGAGTTCGTGTATTTGGGCTCACTGGTGACCGCCGAAAATGATACCAGTAGAGAAATTCAAATACGCATTATGGCAGGGAATCGTGCCTACTTTGGACCTCGGAGGACGCTCCGGCGAATAAAATTCGCCGCCGCACGTTGTTGACTGTCTACAAGACGCTGATTAGACCGGTGGTCCTCTACGGCCACGAGACCTGGACTATGCTCGTGGAGGACCAACGCGCCCTTGGTGTTTTCGAACGGAAGGTGTTGCGATGACGGAACGTGGACGCTTCGAATTAACCACGAATTGCACCAGCTGCACATTGCAAAAATTGGTCGACTGCGGTGGGCTGGGCACGTCGTAAGAATGCCGCATAACGACCCAGTGAAAATGGTTCTAGAAAGATATTAACTCTGAGTACAGTTGTCTTACCCCTTGATTCACGATTAAGGGAGAATGCTCGAGAGAATGAGTACCTATTCTTTGGAACAAGCAATGCAAATATTTACCATATTTGACAAAACCCAGATAATCATGACAGCAGTAGGTCTCTTTTCTTCATTCGAATTGTTTTCAATAATCAAACGTCATGATTACCTGGGTTTTGTCAAATAAGGTAAATATTTACATTACTTGTACCAAAGAATTCACTGGATTATTGTAGAAAGTAGTAAGTCATGATAATAATTGTCATTTGTCATTTGTCATTCGTTACGCAAAACTCATTCGAGTCAGACCTACACTCCCGAGCATAAGTTTAAGGACACCCCCAAAAAAACATGACAAATTTGTTATGTTCATATCTCTGTCATGTTACGTCCAATTTTCGTTCTCTTTAGTTCAGTTGAAAGGTATTGAATGGAACTTTCCTCGTAGGCAAAAATTGTTAAATATAATTTTCAAATTTTGTGCTAAAAGTTCACCCAAAGTTACAATATTTTTCATAATTTACTCTGAATTATCGTGACTGATTTTCTCAAAATTGGGTTGGCCAATTTTTGAAATAAAAGTAGTAGTAGAACACTTAGGGATCGTCCATTAATTATGTCACACTTTTAGGGGGGAGGGTTTTTTTTGGAAACTGTGACAAGCCTTACAAAAAAAACAATTAAGGTCCATATGAAAAATGTGACACAGGGAGGAGGGGGGGGTTGAAAATGGGCCAAATGCGCGTGACATAATTAATGGACCTTCCCTTATGCTATACTATTCATACCATTCAAATAACCTTTGGAGATTGTGAATTGAACAAAACATATTTGCATGGTTTTTTGGGGTGTCCTTAAACTTATCATCGGTAGTGTACTTTTGTCAAATTTTAAGGAAAGTTCCGTGAGTATCAAGGTAGTTTTGAAAACCTCGAACGAATATGTGGGAACATTGAAAAGAAAATTTCAGGGGATTCTAGATAAATTAACGATAGGTTAGAGATTTTTAAGTAAATTACGTAAACTTCAGAGTAGTTGCGAGAAATTCAGGAAAATTTCGGGATCTTCCAGGCTGTTCTATGAACAGCTGGAAAATTGCAGGAACTCTATGGCCTTTGCCGACTGCAGCAACTAACAGTCACGTTTCAAAATATCCTGTCTACTCGCTTGAATTAAAGACGCGTATTGTCGAACCTTCTGTAATATGCTGCGAAGAGTTACGTTATTATCGCTCCCCATTTATTATTTTTACTAAGACGGTGAAACAAGCATGGTAGGGTAGATCAGTGATTCGAGATTCGGCTTAACAAGGTGAGGGTGTGGGTCAACTCTTGGCGAAAGTATTTCACGTCTCAATTATCGATTACTAGAAAAAAGAATTGATAATAAAGAGTTAAAACCATATGAGTAGCCAGCTTCAAATTTCCTGACATCACTGCAATGAACCTAATGAGCTGCTTTTTTTTATGTCTCGTCAAAACATCAAAAATTTAATAAAATCTAATCACACCGTTCCCCATTCCAGAGGCGTCAAGCGCAAACGGCACCTGGTAAGCCGGGTTGACTCGCTGACATCGGATCCGGACGGGAGCACCACCAGCACCGGTTTGACACAGGAAATCGACGTCATGGACATTGGCAGCAGCACTCCGAAAAAACGGAAGGCAACCTCCCCCATCAAGGGTGTCCTGAAGGTCCGTTCGCTATCCGACGACGAAATGCTGGTGAACGACCATCTGGCCAACGTAATGTTCTCCACACCGGTGTCCTCGCAGAAGATCCGCCGCGAAGCTGGTCAGCTGGCGAAGTTGAAAAGCACCCGCTTTGCACTGCCTTCGTCCGTCGAGCAGCTGAGGAAAGCCGAAGCTTTCAACAAAATTACAGACGAATCCGTTATGTCTCCCATCTGTACGGGGAACACCTCCGTTCCAAATATGGGTAACACGCCGAAAACTATCAAGACTCCATTCAGAACACCGAAATCCGTCCGGCGTGGTCCGATCGAATCGGACGAACGTATCCTGGGCACTCCGGACTATCTGGCGCCGGAATTGCTGCTCCAGCAGGGTCACGGCCCGCAAGTCGACTGGTGGGCTTTGGGTGTTTGCCTGTACGAGTTCATGACCGGTGTCCCACCGTTCAATGACGAAACGCCTCAGAAAGTGTTCGAGAACATACTGAGCCGCAATATCGAGTGGCCCCAAGATGACGAGGCACTGTCGGCGGCGGCGATGGAGGCCGTGGAACTGCTGCTGGAAATGGATCCCACCAAGAGGCCCCAAGCCGACCGGATGAAGGCGGTGCCGTTTTTCGAACCGGTCGAGTGGAACAACATGGAATCGACACCGCCTCCGTTCATACCGAATCCGGACGATCCACAGGATACGGGTTACTTCGAGGCACGGAACATCATGCAGCACCTGAAGCTGTCCAACTTTGATATGGATGCGTATTGAGGATCAAGGCGGCAGACACTGGGTTGTTTGTGTGTGTGTGTCGAGTGCGAGACAGATTGTCCTGTAACAATTGTAAGCTGTTATCTCTTATTTGTAGGAATAGGTTTTTATGTGATAAATAAACTCGGCATTCAAGACTACTGCGCGGGCTTGTGTAAAAGAGAAATCCTTGCAATGCATTTGCAATGCATCAAAAGATTAGATCTGGTTTGAACTGCAAATGAAGTGCATGCCTGCGAGATTCTAATCTCCGGCAGATGAATGACAGGACGAGAGTTCGGTACTCAGCAGAAGTAGGTCAATCTTGATAAATCATTGCACTTGTGTTCTGATTCCGAGTGCAATCAGAAAAAAAAATGTAACTGACACACCAACGAAAACAAACAAACAGCTAACAGTAAGTGCATGACTGCTGATTCACGCTGAGCATATGTTTTCCATCTGTGTTGACGGCGCAGTTTGATATAGGCTTGTTGATGTTCCGTAATTATTTGAAAACAACGAAAGTTTTAGAACCGACCGACACGTGGAAGTCGTTGGACGTCGTTTCTTCTAGTTTGTAGCTGTTTGTTTTGACTGCTATTAATTGCTTAGCACTTGGAAGATTGTTACAATTAGGTATGATCAGAAAGCATCAGCACTGAGATTCGTACTCTTCCATACGTGTGCCTGTCGTCGTGTGCCGGGTTCCTGGTTGGCAAATTAACAAAGGATACCAACCTTAGCGCACACACCAGCGATAATGATATAATACGATTATAACAAGGGATTATCTCAATAAGCTCCGTGATTAAGCGTAGAACAAAACGTGTCAATGGACGGATTCCGATATGATAGCACACATGTGCCCGACACCTGAAGACAGTAAACCTATTGCCAGCTAATGTTACGCCCAGTTGTCATCAATGCACTTTAGGTACTCCATCACATGCGTGAATCTGCGACGATGCGTCGTCTTTGTCAATCCCGTTCGTTCGTTGGTTTGTAAATCCAAAGCCAAATGGAAATTCCCGTGAAACGATTATCACACAACTTTCGCGAGCAAACCGTGCATGAAAACGTGTGCCCACATAAAAGAAAATTATCTAGAAACCTACCTCTGCATACCTCCCTATAGTACGTATAGGATTGAATGCGAACAGAACAGAATGCATGATGCTTGACGAAATGACTCTGTTATTAGTGCTGTTCTACGACAATACACTACCTATGGAGAGCCTATCATCAAATGGTCATTCGCATATTATTGTTTCGTTATGCATGTAACAGTTACCCAGCTACCCTACCTAAAATTAGCCTTATAGGAGGAGTTTTAGGGAAACTTGAGCGGTGATGAGTTTGATTAGAGTAGATGGGACCGGTAACCGATTCGGATCAGTTATCGTTCGGGCATATTCGTGAGTCGTAAGCGGTATGGACAGGTGGCTAGCTAGATTCAGCTAGATTTTCGCTAATACATGTTTTTTGGTGATAGTTGGTGTGATAGGGTGTGACCAGATGTTTGACAACGGCTATTCAGGATTTCAATTCTGTGGAATATTTGTGGTAAGTCATCAAGAGAAAATTCAATATCAGTGTGAGCTGTTGACAAACCTCGTGGACAGTTTTTTAAAGGTTTCGGACTCCCCTCGCTTTCCCCCTGCGTGTATAATCATCCATACAATCTATATATATATAGGGGAAATAGCTCTAATGTTGGCCTAAAAATCTGCTATTTATCAATTGTATCTAGGTGAACGCGTCATTGGGACTGTACTAATGGATATTTTTGGTTGTTATTGAAAATTTAGTCGATTGCTGAATTTATGTTTAGGCTCAAATTAGGGACACTTAGGCTGACATTACATACATTTCCCCTATATAAATGAATTTCTGTATGTATTTGGGACCGGCAAAGGTTCTTATGATGGTTCGAGACCCCTCCCCCTCTGTAAGGGGGGGCTCCCATACAAATGAAACAGAAATTTCTGCATAATTCGAGAACTAATCAAGCAAATGGAGCCAAATTTGGCATGTGGAGGTCATAGGGGGTAGCCATAGGTCATAGGAGGGGGGGGGGCGACGTACAATATAGCATGCTTTTTTTTAATTGGCGCATAAACTCAAGCTAATATTGAATCCCGAGCTAGGCCGGGCACACTCAGCTAGTGATTTATAAATGAATAAAGTCTCCTCTTCTTGACTATCCACGCGGAATAAAGTTTGTATGGCGGATCACAGCTCTCTGCTCCCCACCAATCTTTCGATCTGTATTTGAGGTACCCACATTCTGTGCCAAATTTGAACGAATTTAGTTGCGAATTGGATTTGAGGGAGAACTTCAAACGTATGGGAAACGGAACAAAACTGTTAATTAGCTTGTCAAAAATTCAAAAATTGCTCGCGCCAATTGCCGTACTTTTCCGGCTTCTCTCCGTCTGTAGGGATCATTCCGGCGATAACGCATACAGTTTCCGAAATGGTTCTGTACGCGCATGGTCATGAGCCGGAACGTACAGCTCAGTTTCCTTTAGTTCTACTTTGTTTCCAACACTGCAAACCAGGCTGGACCTCCATACCACAGTATCGACGACGGCACGGCCAGAAGACGCTTCTTGCTACTGCTGGGACCTAGGTATCTAGATCTAGGTATCGCGTTGATGACCTTTGAAGCCTTCTCACTGGCATTATCGACGTGGTTGTTGAAATTTAGCCTGTCATCGATCATCACTCACAGGTATTTCAACACACTCTTCGAGGCTATGACGTGCTCCCCGACGGTGATTTCTGCTCGCTGCACCACTTTACAGTTACTGACCAATAGCACTTCCGTTTTGTCATGGGCTATTTAGATTCAAGGAGCGATGCAGTTACTTCCTTCCATCCTCTTTCATTTATTTAACGTCGGTCTCTGTTCCGCAATCTAGTGCCAATCACCGACGGACATCGATTACCATCCATTGACGGCAATTGAATGTGCAGGAAGGCAGCTTCCACACCTGCATAGGATATCGCACCCATTCAACACACATGGGCCGGGACCAACGGCTTTACTTCCCTTCCGAAGGAAGACGTGACCAGAGATTTTTATGCCTCAGAAAAATCCAACCGATCTCGGCTGGGATTGAACCCAGACCCATTGAGGTGAGAAAGCAGTCACGCTTACCACTACACCACCGGCGTCGTCATGCAGTTACTAATCATGTCGATCGCCTCGGTCGCCAACATTTTCACCTCTTCCAGCGTCTCGCCTGTTGAACGCATTCTTGACGTCGATCGTTATCACGGCGCAATATCGAGTTCCTATCCACTTCTGTCCGAATTGCGTTCACCGTTGATCTCCCTTTTTGGAATCCGAACTGCCTCTCCGACAATGCGTGCTATACGATGCTGGATCCCCAGGCGGTTTTCCTGTTTTCGACTAGAGTTGGTGTATAATGAGTTACGCCAAGAGAAAAACAGTTGAACTCGCATCACGGTTTTCGAAAGATTCCCTTTTTTTTTAACTTGGCAACAGAGGACTTCTACATCAACTTCGAATGATTTCTAGCGAGAAAAACTAATAGCGGCTGTAGTAAATCATTATATCAGTGATTTTGTCAAATTATCTTAACAAAAAATAGTAGAAATTCTCATTACTGATCATTACCAAACGTATCCCATGACAATTGAATGCTCACTGTGTTTATTATAATTTCTTCGATTATATTTTATATTTGATTGCAATACCTTTCGTGGACCTTTCATAGCATCGTAATGTTTGTTTACTTTGCACGATAGGTAGCTGGTTTGACAGTTCGATAGGTAGACTTGGCTTCACTCTTGGCGTGACTCATTATTAGACTGATGCAAATTTGACTTTCTCGCTCCACTAGCCTCCAAAAGTTACAACTCATTTGGTTAGAAACAGACTTCGCACAAGCTATTTGAAGTTTACATGTAAATTACTATGGGAAATCTCAACTTTTTGTTATTTGCCTTCTAGTCTTTCTCCATATTGAGCTGCGAAACAGTTCGATAGCCATTATTATAGAAATTTTTACCAGCTACAACTTTGCTGAAGATCGTTTCTATGTAAAACGAGACAGGAAAAAGTTATTAATTATTTAAGAGATTGGTAAACTTATGACATGATCAAGCAGCTGCTCCGTAGGCAACACTGTATTTTGCAGTGTGTCATAGTAGCCATGATTTTTGTGTCCTATTCACCAAAAAAACACCAATGTTGCCTGCTGAGCAGTTGATTGAGCATGATCATAAGACATTAGCGCATTGAACCATTGATAACTTTCGATCCTTGAATTTAATCAGAAAGTGGTCTTCAGCAAAGTTGTAGCTCGGAATATTTCCTACAGTTAATAGTTTTTGAAGCAGATCGATATGGTGAATTATCAGATAGACATGAACAAAAATCTTGGTTTTACCATAGTAATTCCTATACAAACTTCAAATGGTTTGTGCCATCTCAGTTTCACACCAAATGGGTTCAAATTTTGAGAGGTTAGTCAGGATCCAATTTGGAATCGTTTAAGTATTGTGGAGCGAAAATTTCAAATTTTGCATCACTCTACTCATTATACACCGACTCTAGTTATGACAGCAACACTAGCTTCTGTATCTTCCAACTGTTGAGGGTCACGTTCAGACATTTCTGCAGCACCATCCTGAACATGTTCGGAGACACCTGGATCGCCGCTTTCAAGACTACGTTGGGGATTGCATCCGGACTGGGAGCTATCTTCACCTTCAATCCTTATCTCCCTCTCCCTCTCCGTTTGGTGTAGGTGGCCAGGTCACCGACAAACCTACATGAAACTTAAACTTAACTCTTGATCGAGAATCCATAACGGCGGATTCAAATGTGCAGCGATCCCATCCGTCAAAACCATAGAAATTTGTTATCTAGATAAAAATGATTTGCCCGGAATAGATTGGACACGATCCAACTGATACATTTTGTATGTGTGTTCGAGGCTAGGATACACATTTTTCGCGAACACGGCGGCAGATGTCAGTTTTGTGCTTTGATCAGAAATTTGATGGTAGTTTGTATGGTCATTTGTGACTATGGCATGACCAGACACTCCCGGGTAACTAGCTCAGTAGCATGAGACCCCTGAACTGTGTCGCAGGGCCGGCATGTTACTGGGTATTCGGAGGG